GAGAAACTATAGGAATAATGATGAGATACGTACATGAGCACTGTATGTCAGGAACTTGAGGCATGCATGTGGGGTTACAACTGGATATTAAAATATAGGGTGATCAGGTCAGTTCTGTCCTTTGTGTAATTTTGTCACTGTTCAAGGCTTGGCCAGTCATTTAGACTAGTAAACAATGTATGTGCCTCTGGCATGTTTTTCCCAGGTTTTAAAAATGTTTCACTGGCTTGGCAACTGGAGAGTTCATGTAATTTGTCTTCTCCGTATCTTAGGCTTACATTCAGAAATACATGAGGTTCCCCTTCCACAATGAAAGTAGCTTTTTTTTTTTTTTTTAATGGTAAATGATTTTAAATAATACCTAAATTTACTGAAAAAGTAAAGGTGACTTAGACTTCCACTGCCCTATAACTGCAATATATCTTTTGGGAACTGTTCTCTTAATATGTATGTTAATATGTATGTACTGTCTCGCTCTTAAATAATGCTGTGTAATTGAAATTGTGTCATACATGCAGTTTTGTTTTTGTTTTGCTTTTTTGAGACAGAGTCTCATTCCGTTGCCCAGGCTGGAGTGCTGTGCCGTGCTGTGCTATTTCACCTCACTACAATCTCCATCTCCTGGTTTCAAGGGATTCTCTTGGCCTCCACCTCCCAAGTAGTTGGGTGCCCACCACCACACCCAGCTAATTTTTAAATTTTTTGTAGAGATGGTGTTTGGCCAGGCTGGTCTTGAACTCCTGACCTCAGGTGATCCACCTGCCTCAGCCTCCCAAAGTGCTCATTAGTGAGGTCTTCAGCCTAGTTTAAACATGTGAAGCTGAGAAGGCCTTATAAAATTGTCCTTAAATTTTTATATCTTTACAAAGGTTGACTGTGTGTGGTGGCTCCCAGTGTAATCCCAGCACTTGGGAGGCCAAGGTGGGATCGTTTGAGGTCAGGAGTTTGAGACTAGCCTGGCCAACATGGCGAAACCCTGTCTCTACTATAAATACAAAAATTAGCCAGTTGTGGTGGTGCACGCCTAAATTACTTGAGAGGCTGAGGCACGAGAATCGTTTGATCCTGGGAGGCAGAGGTTACAGTGAGCTGAGATCACATCACTGCACCTCAGCCTGGGCAACAGAGTGAGACCTTCTCGCTCAAAAAAAAAAAAAAAAAAAAAAAAAAAAGTGTTGGTGTTGTAATTTAGAGATTAATCTTGTGGCCTAGCCAGTGTAAATTAGTTTGGATTATTTCATTTCAGAGTGAGCTGTTGGGAACCAAGGTTGTGTAAGTTGGATATTGAATTTGCTTTTCCATTTCAGTTTACTATCAATGTGAGCACGGACATGCGGCACCATCGAGTGAGACTGGTGTTCCAAGATTCCCCTGTCCATGGTGGTCGGAAACTGCGCAGTGAACAGGGTGTACAAGTCATCTTGGACCCAGTGCACAGCGTTCGGCTCTTTGACTGGTGGCATCCTCAGTACCCATTCTCCCTGAGAGCATAGTTACTGCTTCCCATCCTTTGGAAGCAGCCCCGAGTCTAGTCCGTTAGTAATCAGATTCCGGTTTGGAAGGGGCAGCTGGATTGTATATCTAGTTAGTAATGCACATGCTCTTCAGGTTCTAGGGCTCCTGTTAGGGGAGGGAGAAATGTTGAATCAAGAGGAAAAATAACAACTATAATTTATGAACATATTTTAATGTAAAAATTTGCATTTAAAAGGAGTGGCCCTGTTTTCTGTGTTAAAACCCCATTTGGTGCTATTGAGTTTGTTCTTTATTCTTTTATCACAGTGAAAATTGTTGATCTTGCTCTAGGGAAAAATTAAACTCTTTGAATCTCTAAACAAGGAAGTTTCAGCATTCCCTTATGATCAGAGGAACTTTAGAGGCCTGAAATTGTTGCTTCCAGTTTAGCTCCCCCTCATATTTTTGCCCTTTACCCTTCTCCAGAAATAAAGCAGGTGACAGGGTTTTCAGAATCTTACCAGATTGACTTGTGTATCTTTTTTAAAAAATAATTTGTAATATTTATTGCATACATTTTCTCTTGCCAGTTTTGGATTTTAGGTATTTTTTTGCATGAGGCTGATAGTGGTGATGATGACTTTATACCCTTGGTACTATACTAGGAACTTTACACAGTATCTCTGCTTCTCACAGTCTTGCAAGGTAGGTGATATTATTCCCATTTTATGGTTGGGAAAACAGAATCAGCGACCGTACCTGTAACACCAGTAAATGCAGAGCTAGGATTCTGACCCAGGTCTTTTGTTATACCATAATTTGAAAAGATGAGTCTCATTTTTCTTGTGGTAGATGGTGGTAAAAGGGAGTAGGCAGAGTGTATGTAGATAAAAAAGTAAAAGGGTAAGTAAAAAGTTGATTGTGGTATACCTTATTCTGATCAGCTTATAAAGTATAGAAGATTGATGAAATGATCTTTTAAATATGTATTTCTAAGTAAAATGTAAAACAAACCAAGAATGTTATTTCAGGAAGGATAGTGACACTTGCATTGAACTGTTAGAAGGGCATTTATTATGCTAAAAAGTCATTAACAAAATGCATTGCATGTTGAAACCAGCCTCTTGAACCATAAGCACTTAGCGACTTTGCTCTGCCCTGTACTGTGCTGCTTCTGCTGTCATCCCGTGTGCCTACAGAAGCCTGGCCTTCCGTCCATGCAGAAACGCTTATGTCCTCCTGTTGTTCAGATGACTCCTGTTGTTCAGATGACTCCTGTTGTTCAGGTGTACTCTGAGAAGAGGATCACAAATGTTTTTTTGTTTTGCTAGGAAGAAAACCTTGCTGCTTTTCTCTCCTCCCACCCTCTGCTATACAAAATTAACCAGTGAGCTGGATATTACCTGGATATTGCCAGGAGGTGGGCATTAAGACAGTATTCTTTAAAAATGAAAATCTTTTGGAGGAAAATCTTGTGAGGCAAACTGCTAAATTGGGGTGTGTGTGTGTGTGTGTGTGTGTGTGTGTGTGTGTCTGTTTGTGTGTGTTTGTGTGTGTGTGTTTCCTTACCATCTTCCCCAGGAATACTCTTAGAAAGCATCTGCTTAATTTTGCTGCTAATAGCTAACCTTATCCCACATTGAGGGTGGTATTAAAACTGTTCACACAGAGAGTGAGCCTGGGTCAGCCAAAAACAGAATTTGGGCATTTAAGTGATAACAGACAAAAAAACCTAAGGACAGTGAGCACCTTATAGATCTCTACGATCAAAAGTTGCCTCTTTGAGGCAGGAGGAGAGAAGCACAGTCCCTACCTGGCTGCCTGAACTAAAGATGCCATGGAGCAGGAGTGTCTTGGTGCATTGTTGTCCCCGCTTAGGAGTACCTTGAAAAAGGGGGTGAAATAAATTTGGCTTAATAATTGTATTCTGACTCAGCTCTGAGTTTTTTTGTGTCAAATTCCATAGTATGGTGACAGATACAGTACTAAATGCTGCCTCAGCTCTCAGCACAATATTGACAAACACTTGGTAAAATGTGTTATCAGTAGTTATCCTGGCTTCAGCCTTCCTCTGCATTGGCTGAGTTGCCATTTCTAGCATGATGCGTGCTTTATTAGTGACAAGATGTGAAGTGTCTCGGGGATTTCCTTTTGGTTAGGACCCTAGACCACCCGAAGAAGAGTTGGAACTTTATGGACTACAGGTTAAAAACAGCTCTTTTAGCCAAACAACATACAGGTGACTGGAACACTGTGAGAGTTAGGGGTGCAGACCTCACACAGTTGAAAATCTGCTATAATTTTTGACTTTCCCAAAACTTAATAGCCTACTCTTGGCTGGAAGTCTTATTGATAACATAAACAGTTGATTGATGTGTATTTTGTATATGTAGTATATACCTTGTTACAGTAAAGCTAGAGAAAAGAAAATGTTACTCAGAAAATCATAAAGAAGAGAAAATATATTTACTGTTCATTAGGTGGCTCATTATGTTGAGCAGGCTGAGAAAGAAGAGGAAGGGTAGGTCTTGCTGTCTCAGGGCTGTCGGAGAAGGAAGAAAATCTGCATACAAGTGGCCCTGTGCAGTTCAAGGTCCTGTTCAAGGGTCACAAATTTAGCTTCTTGTGTCACCCCTCAGATCAGAATTACCCAGATTTCTCTGTCTTTAAAGAGAGGCAAGGAAATTGTGCCAAATGGTGAATTATTGGGTGGAAAATAAATGAGAGAAGGTTGTATGTGTCACTGATCTCAGCTATAGCATTTGCTGCTGATGTAGAACATGCTGTGTATCTATCTATAAATACATACACATGAACACATTGCATGTATATAAAAAATGGTTCACACTTTTAGTGGTGCTTACTGGGTATCGGTAAAGGATTGAGTAGGCACTGTGATGAAACTTCACAAAGCAGATGGAAAAGATGCATTAATAGCCACAGGGGGCAGGGTAAGGGAGCAATTCAGGAAAATGGAGAGGCTTAGCTAAAATTTGTCAGTCAGAAATTTTGGCATTTGAGACTTGTTTTCATACTATGTATATATAATAGACAAACCCTTCATTTTGTAGTAACAGTGTTAGAACAGCCAGGTGCCTGAAGGCAAGCGACACAATTCACTGAAGTGCATACTACAGATGTATCCGGATATCGAGTTTCCCCACTTTAAAAATGGGTGCGATCAAAGGAAAAGCAAGTAATGGGCAGGAGAGAGCAAGTGTGAAAGGTGACACACCATTGACAACAATTACAAGGCCGGGACGAAGGCCAACCTAGGGAACGGGCCCTTAGACTAGGAACGGGTGAGTTCAGAGCGAGGGGCAGAATGTCGCAGCACTGCTGGGCCCTGGGACCTTCCTCCTGCGGGGTAAAACCCTGGCACTCCGCCACCTCCTCGGCCTCCAGAGTCCTCAACCAAGATGGAGCGCAGCCTCAAAGCGGCGCTCTCGTCACGTGTCGAGACCGGAGGCGCTGGGGGGCGTGGCCTCGGGAACGACGGCCCGGCCCCGCCTAGGAGGCGGAGCCCGGGGGGGGTGTTCGCGGAGGAAGGGGGCGGGGCCTCGCGGCCGGGCGCTTGGGCGGCGGAGGCTGCAGCTACCTCGGCGCCGGCTTGGCTCTAGGACGTGTCGGGCTGCCCCGGTCGGGGGCGGCTCCCTGCTGTCTCCAAGCCTAGCCGCCCGGCCTTCGGCAGTTGCAGGCAGGTGAGCCCCCAGATCCCGGACTGGGGTAGGATGCGTCTTTTCCCCACCTCCAGCTCCCCTCGACAGTTTGGGGAGGGGTCTCGTCTATCGCGCCTCGGGAAACAGCCCTTTTTGACTCCGTCTGTGCTGTCTCTGGCAGACGTCGGTACTGCTACCCCCGCCGCTCCTCGCCGGCCTTTGCGGTGCCCTGTGCCCTTGGGGGTGAGGATGGGGGCGATGCCCGGTCTGCGGGGAGGGCGTAGAGTGCGCCCTCTGCTCCATCCGCTTCTGGGGAGGGGGCCGAGTTGGCGAGTCTCCCGGTGGGAACTGAGCAGACTGCGCCCCCATTTCCCCTCCAGGCGAGTCAGAAAAAGCGCCTCCTGGCTCCGGGGCCAGCCCCACTCCTTTGGGCACGAGCTTCTGAGGGTCTGAGGTCTTCGCGCTTCGCGGGGGTCTTAATTCTTCCCGCGTTCCTCATAGCACCCCTGTTCCTGTCGTTAGCTCTCCATTCCTCGAACTACCAGCCTCAGTCTGTGCCAGAGATGCCCCCATCTCCGCAGTGCCAGGGCGGTGGGGTGGAAAGAGCGGCCAACCCGAGGCCTGTTGGGGGTGGGGGCAGGGGTGGGCGCAACAGGAAAAGAGGGCTGGAATAGAGATGCCCGAACTAGAAGGGTGGGAGGGGGGCACTGACTTACGTCCACGCAGTAGAGATGTTTTCCAGCACAAATCTTGAGGTTTTGATGGTGGGTGGGAAGAGAGAGGTCGGGTTGGAGGACTTGGAGACATAGTGTGGGTGTTTTTTTTTTTTTTTTTTTTTTTTTTTAAAGGAGGAGGGATCCAGGACAAGGTGCCACTAGGAGCTGATGTCACCTTTGAGGTGTACTGGTAGTTTCCATGAGAGGAGTAGGAGAGTTGGGGCATTCTGTGTGGAAAGCAAGTGGTTAAGGAGGCGCCGCTTAGCAGGGAGATCCCCTCCTGGTGTGAGCTTCAGGGTCCCCTGCAGCAGCCAGGTTTCAGGGATTTCCCATGGTCCTTTCCAGAGTTGTTGAATCTGGTACCTAGTACTTTCTTCAACATCTAGCAAACATTTATTGGACACCTACTACATGCCAGATACTATGTGCTACGTCTTCTGAAGGCATTTTATAGCCACGGAGCAGCTGAAAGGTACACATAGTAGGCACACATAGTAGGTTTTCTGTTAACACCTCCCTCTCCCCCCAACCCCCATTCTATTACATTGCTCTTGGAGTAGAAAAAGAAAGAACTGTGTCCATGTGCTTTTAAACAGCTGTCTGAAGGAGACTCCAACCCACACACCCCTTACCACTATTAACTGGCCAGATAGTCCAGGGAAGCTGCCTAGGCAAAAGGGCAGCTTGAATGATTTCCCTTGGTTTTTATTTTATCAGATTTTGTCCTGAGGCTTGAGGAGGCTTCCAGGGGTAAATAGTATCTCAAAGCAAAGACATAATGAATGAGAAAATGATTACTGGGGGCTAAGAATGCCCTAGACACTCTGCATAGTGGGAGACGCCATCTCTGGAAGATGGAAGAATGTGGGGGAGGAGGGCAGGGCAGGGAATTCTCATACAGTGGGGTGGGGGTGTGTGCTGCTGAGCATATCATGATGTCAGAGCCGTGCAGTGCATGAGGTCTGGCTGCTGGGTTGTAAAGGAGGTCTGGAGGGGCAGGGCATGGCAGGCAGCCAGGTTCCTGGGTCTCATCTCTGAGTTGATTGCTGAAACCTTAGAGTTGGAAAGAGTTGTCAGGGATGGCTTGTAGGTCCTCATGGAGCCTCTGAGGATGGCAGAGCTAGAGCTAGGTGAGAGAACGAGTAGTCAGGCTGTGGTGCTGATGAGGTGAGGATGAGGGCTTAGCAGGGCTGGGGAGCTGGGTGCCAAGGGGGTTTTAAGATATGGGCAGCTAGCCGAGGCCTTTCAATGCCAAGGACATTCTTCCCTGGGCTTTAGGCCCTACTGTGTTGGCTCCATAGGTGAGTTGCTTTAGAAACAAGGTTGGCAACTGAGTGGTATAGAGGGGTGTGTGTGTGTGTGTGTGTGTGTGCATGCCTGAGCGTGTGTGTTTGTGCACGTGCTGGAGAGGAGGAGTGGTGAGGAGCAGGGAGGACTGAGGGGTGAAAGCTGCCTCAGGGTCTTGGTCCCACATAGGGAATTGAGAGAAAAGGAGGAGAGGGAGTGGGGTTGGAGGGAGAGACAAGTGTGTATTGCAGCCACATGAAGTCACCATCTGTCCCCCTCTGGCCTGCTAGCTCACTGACCTATAATTAGCTCTGGAGGGCATACAGTGCTGGCTCACAGGAGCATGGCACTTCGGGTGGCCAGCAGAGTGGAGGACTCGGAGGGATCCTTGATGTCCTGTGGAAGGGGCTGCTTCTAGGGGACCCTCTGCATTTGCTGTACTGGGAGGGGCCTGAAGCAACTGAGAATGTCACTGGGATAGGCCTGGTGGGGGAAACAGCAGTGGGGAAAGGAGCTCTAAGCAAGGATGGCAGGAGACTCCAGGCCTGGGCTGAGCCTGAGGCCTCCCCTCTTCTTGTTGCCTGGCTGCTGACCCACCGCACAAGAAGCATGATTGATGCCTAGCTCATGGCTCTGCCTTCAGAGAAGCGCGGGTGCTGCAACCTCGGGGCCTCCTTCAGGTGTCTCTGTTCCCCGGGGTGAAGTCGGGTCTAGCGTGGAGTAGCCACCTGCCTTTCATTTGGTGTTTGAGAGGCCTTGGCTGAGGCTGCTTCGTTCTGAGAGAGCTGGAGGAGAAGCTGCCACCAGTGAATTCAGTTGGTCGTGCTTCAAGTGGTGCTCAGCACTGACCCCCCGGCTGTGCCAGAGACTGAGTGTTTGGCCACACGCTTCTCTGTACTGCTTTCCAGTGATTACATGTGCTTCTGTGTTCTCTCAAGTAGCCTGTGAACTTTGTCTTACATGTCTCTTGCTTTCGTAACAGTATTGGATGCATGAAAATCACTCAGTAAGTGATTGCTGGATTGAATTAAAGAGGTCTGTCTTCTGATCTCCTGGGTTCCATGAAGCAGGGCCTCCTCACTACTGGAGATATTTAACCTGGAGCAGGGAAGCCTCTGGGGACCCAGGACACTGGTGTGACATCCCTGTGGGGGCATTAGATTCTGTAGGCAGTAGATGAAGTGAAAGCCCCCTGCCGTCTGTCATAAAGCATGGCATAGGGGTTTGTAACTCTAAACTGTAGTATGAATGTATAGATATGATATATGTGTATTCTATATTAATTATGTAAATATATGCTGTATATACTATTGTATAGTGATGTTACAAAGAGCACATATGCATGGTATGATTTTGTAGTGGAGTGTCAGGTGAAATAGGTGATTTGATTTTAGAGGCCTTCATTGCTTATTTTGCCCAGGCGGTAGCGTTGAATTCTCATAAGTTAGATATATACTTGATGTGCCTTCATGGCCACTGCCTTCAGATGGATAACTCTCATTTCAAAGAGAGAAGGGTTTCCATTCACTTTAAGAAAAAGCTTCCTTAGAATGATGAAGCCTTCCTCATCTGGTAGTGAGCTCCTTGTTCCTGAAGGATAATCAAGTAAAGACTGGGCTGCCAGGGGTGTTGTGAAAGGAACTCCCACACACGGTGGGAGGTGGCCTGTGTGACCTCAGAGAGCCCTTCTGAGTCCAGGTATGGCCGGTGAGTCTGGACAGGAGAGGGCCTCAGCAGACAGCTCTCCTTTGCCCTAGAGGAGTGCTGCTGGGCATGGAGGCCTGGGGAGTGAGACCGGGCCTGAGCTGTTCCATGAGGATTGGGCATTTTGGAACATGCAGGGAGGTGACCCCAGCAATCTCATGGACAAGGAGGCCTGGGCTTGGGAGACGCTGCAGTGCATCCCCGATGGGTGGGGGTAGGTAGAAGGATGGGGTGGCCCCTGTTCCATGACCACAACTCAAACTGGGCTAGTTGTAGAGTGCTCCAAATTTTTGGTCCTGTTTGAGGCAGAGTACCTGGAGCAAGTGGAGCTTTCATTCTTTCATTATCACCCCATCCCTCCCTCCTCTCTCGCTCATAGCTTCTCACACAGGTTCGAGGCCTCACATGGACTTAAGCTGTCTCATAAGTGTCTCGAGACCAGAGATACACTTTTGTGATTACACACACATGATTGCACAAGCCCTCACAGCCTCCATGTCCTCTGTGAGCATGCATGTGTGAAGTTACGAATCCCAGATGCTTGTGCATGTATGACCATTCACATTTCCTGCCATGGCTGTGTGCTTGCACATGTGTTCTCATAACCACAATTATATGCAGTCTGAGCCTTGATGTACTTACAACCACACACATCTACACACTCTCATGAGTATATCCACCTACTCGCTCTCATGCCTGTGCTCTCAGGACACCGTACTTAGGATCATACCTTTATACACAGACATATACGCACAAATACATACTCTCTCTGTGCCCCTTTCTCCCTCTCTCTCCCTGTTGCCCAGGCCGGAGTGCAGTGGCATGATCATGGTTCACTGCAGTCTCAATCTCCCGGGTCAATTGATCCCCGCCACCTTAGCTTCCCGAGTAGCTGGGACTACAGGTGCATGCCACTGTGCCCAGCTAGTTTTCATATTTTTAGTAGAGTTGGGGTTTTGCCATGTTGCCCAGGCTGGTTTTGAAGTCCTGAGCTCAAGCAATCTGCCTGCCTTGGCCTCCCAAAGTGCCACTGTGCCCAGGGCTTATGCCCAAGGCATGAACTACTGCACTGGGTTCTCTTCCTTTCTCATGGCCACACATTATACCCTGTGTCCTCATGATCACGCACACTGTTGCATGAAGACACATGACACCCCCATTCTCTTTTCATATTGCCCCCTACTTTTGTGACCGCATACACATGCACATTTTTTATGATGCTTACATTTCTCCATGCCGTTCTGTACTCTGGACTTTTTACCCCTGGTGCCTGTTATCCCTCTGGACCATTCTCTTCTCTGCCCTGCGATGGCTCCCTAATCTGTTGGCTTGATC